GAACTAGGCCTCAAACTCTCCCTTCGTATCGTACCCCCGCCATTTCATTTTATTATAGCCATTCATTTGTTCGTTCCTACCAGCCCACCCCGCAGGGACCTGTTATCATCAACAGAACTGAATGAAACGCCATGATCGCCAACTTATTTTAGAAAAGACATGGCACAAAGCGAGAGAGACGTGTATATTTGTTTAAATGACTAGTCACTGTAGTCAGTCACGGCCTGAAATCAAACTCAGGTTAAGGGGTACTTAACACAGAGCACTAACCATTGCGCCATCGTTACACCCCCGATTTGAAATCATTACAAGGGGCACATTAATAACCATATTCTGCGGTTTAAACGCGTTAAGAAAATAAAAAGCCTGTTAAACCAAAGCCCTGTGTCAATAAAGTTATACTAATCTTTTACACCATTGGAACCTCATTTGCCAGTAAAAATATGATCATTGTTTTTTTACCCTTCTATCTGGCAACAAAACTGACACCTTTTTTACAAGGAGTCATGTTTACATAGACCACAATACCTGCAGTCATAATGGGTGTGGACCAATCAACTTCAAGGACAGTGCACATTATCAGAGTTATGTTTTTGTTTGCATTATGACTGCAGGTATTGTGGTCTATGTAAACATGGCTCCTTGTAAAAAAGGTGTCAGTTTTGTTGCCAGATAGAAGGGTTAAAAAAAATTATTATACTAATCTGTTCACGCGTACACACACACCTATTAAAATACAGGAGGGGTGGGGGGGGGGGAAGCTTTCTCATCCCCGGAGAATAAGGTAATGGAATTGGCACCTTGAATTATGACGTGTCAAATCATGGGGGGGAAGAGGCAAGTCGTTAATGCTCTAGCGAGGTCACTACAGTAATAAGGCACAGACCTGCACGGACGCATCTCCGGCACTTGCGTACAGACATTTACAAATATAACACGTGGCAGGCTTTCGCGACCAATATTATTCATAATCAAGGTTTTTGGGTCAGATCGCGTTATTTATAAATGTGTCGTAACCCTCCACCACCCGACACGGCCAAACAGTAAAAAAATGTGTCACGTTTTCAAAGGACAAATTAATTAATTTATCCTTTGAAAACGTGACACATTTTTAAATTAATGAATTGTCCTTTGAAAACGTGGCACATTTTAAATTAATTAATTGTCCTTTGAAAACGTGACACATTTTAAATTAATGAATTGTCCTTTGAAAACGTGGCACATTTTAAATTAATGAATTGTCCTTTGAAAACGTGACACATTTTAAATTAATTAATTGTCCTTTGAAAACGTGACACATTTTAAATTAATGAATTGTCCTTTGAAAACGTGGCACATTTTAGATTAATTAATTGTCCTTTGAAAACGTGACACATTTTTAATTAATTAATTGTCCTTTGAAAACGTGGCACATTTTTTAATTAATTAATTTATCCTTTGAAAACGTGGCACCTTTTTAATTAATTAATTGTCCTTTGAAAACGTGACACATTTTTTTTACTGTTTGGCCGTGTCGGGTGGTGGAGGGTTACGACACATTTATAAATAACGCAATCTGACCCAAAAACCTTTGTTATGAAGACATTTACAAAGTTCACACTATTCACACTGGACACGTGCAGTGGCACAGTTCGGTTTTCACGCTCGCAAGCCATTAACACTCTCCGGGACCTCCAGTTTGTTTTCGCCTCCACATTTAGAAACGTGAGTTTAAAGTGTCTGGCTGCTGTAACTTTTCCACGTGATAAGCCACTTATTTTAATTTCATTTTTTACCTACGTGATTTTACCGAAAGAACTAAGACTATGAATCCTTGCAGTCACGAAAGCTCCAAAATCTAGAATCACTTCTAAGAGGTGTCCATTCTGAATACGAGCTAAATAGCTCAGTGGGTTTGACCTGCTAAATTCAAATAAAACGTTAAGTTTAAGACCTCGTTTTTAAATCCTTTATATTAAGTTCGCTTGCTTGCTTGCGTGCTTGCTTGCGCGCTTACGACCGTGCAAACCTTTTGGTCGTTTTTTAACCCACTTTCCGTGATCCAATCGAGCTGACATTTTGCACACAGACTCGTTGTGCGAGACAATGAATGTTCGTGAAATTTTTTTTCCAAAATTTTACACTGTTTAGGGAAAACAAATTAAATATTTAATTACCAATTGTTTAATACTGCAGACAATCATCTGACCCATAGGTGGCAGCCATCTCAAGTCAGAGGACGAGAGGACTCTAGCCGCCACGCATATAAAGGATTTAGAGTTAAAAACTTTGTTTTTACGGGTTATACTTATTTTCCACTGCACAACCGGGCTGCTGTGCTGGGGCATAGCGAGCCATTCCGGCACGGCTCTGGTAGGCACCAGGTTTTTTCTTTGCCAAACTGCAAAATCCGTGTACTGGTCTTGGCAACGCATTATGTACTGGAAATGATTAACTAGTCCGCTGGCTGACCCTGCATGGCCCCTGAGTGAGATGAGATTCAAAAGAAATTCGAGGCCAGAGTTTCATGATTTAGATCTGACAGGGCTTGGCAAATATCCAGCGCGGAATAAAACAACGACGTTTAAGGCCCTCTGATGGGTTTGCTCGGATGTGCCAATGTAATATGGGAATAAGAAGTGGTCACCATTGCACCTTAGCTGACCTCCAGCCAAAATGTTGAGGGAAAACTCAATTCAGAGGTTTTAAGGAGTTGTAAAAATTCACGTGCTTAATTCACAGTTGGAGAAATTCACAACAGTCAAGCGAGCGAGCGATAGGAGTGCCACCGTAACATGTAGCCAACCAACTCGATTTAAATCACATTAAACTAGGGAAGAGCGAAACAAAAACTCAGCATGTAACAATTCTGACTCACGACATCACCGGTCATGAGCTATCCACCTCTTGATGGGAGACCTCCCTGACCCTTCGCCATCTCTCATGCATCGATTTAAAGCTTCTTTCGTGACTGCAGGGATTCATCATAATAAAATAATAAAAATAATACATCATAAAATACAATTCTCACGACGTTTCGGCCACAACGCAAGCAGCCGTCCTCAGGTGAAGAACAGGGCTGTCGGAAAGACAGCGTCTGAATGAAACGTCGTGAGAATTATTTTATTATGTTTTATTTTTATAATTTATTATTTCCCTTCTACGTGACTCTACCGAAAGAACCAAGAAGATGATCTCTCATGTTCCTGCCCCAACCATTCACAAAAACAACACGTGTTAGTGCAAGTGAGTGACCACGACTGTGGCGAAGGACTTGAGACTATGGGCATCACAATCAATTCCAGTTTACCAGTGGCCTAGAAAAATATTCATTTGAGAAATTAAGCCCCGGTCATCACAATCGATGTCAACACCAAGCTTGATCGCTCAGCAATTTCAGCCGGATCCTGTCTGGTTAGCAACCCAGAAAATAATTCTACAAGCAGCCACCACCACATCCTACATCATTAGACCTCCTTTGCCAGCACCAAAATATAATAATAGGGTTTTCCCCCTTTTTTCTGGCAACAAAACTGAAACCTTTTTACGAGGATTCATGTCTGCATTAACCACAATACTTGCAGTCAAAATGCAAACAAAAAACACACTATGATAACACTGGTCAATAAAAAAAAAACATTTTTTTTCTGACCTGGACTTTTGCAGCTGTTTTAGACTAATTTCAGGGTGCTGATTCCAAATCTGATCTCAGATTTGCTCTATCACATCTCATTTTTATGCTATCGGCATACCCCATTTTCATTGATTTTACCCGAAATTAACTCTCTCACTTATGATTGCAAGTTGTTGCGAGTCAGTGACTGCTTTAGTGTTAAAATATGGTGCTGTATTTTTAGGATAGTGTGTTTATAACATCATTTTATGTAGATATCCACATTTATTTAATATTTTTCTTCTGCAGTTTTTATTGAAAATGCAATATTTGATATCTCAAAACTGATGCCAGATTTGGAATCAGCACCCCAAAATTACATTAAAACCGTTGGAATACCTTATGCCAGAAAAAGTGTGTTGACCAGTGTAATATATGCAGTCCTTGAAACTGATTGGTCCACACCAGAGACAGCTTTCTTTTGAGCCTTGACCCAATTGGTGCTCGACCAGAGGACGCCAAAAGGCGTACAGCTCAAATACAATGCTGCACTATCAAGTAATGAGGGCTCGGGGTGAGCATCTACATCATTAGACCTCCTGTGCCAAGTATTATCATAGTGTGTTTTTTGTTTGCATTTTGACTGCAAGCTATTGTGGTTAATGCAGACATGAATCCTTGTTAAAAGGTGTCAGTTTTGTTGCCAGAAAAAAGTGAAAAAACCCTATTATTACCACCACATCATGTATACATCTCACTACGACTATGGCTACCAGTCATGGAAGTTTTCCATGGAAATAAGGGAAATAAATGTATTCAGAAATTAAGAAATAAGAAAAATAACAGTTTGCCTATGCCGTTATCGAAAGCATCATGAATCGATTGCAAACGGGCAGGACACATTATGAGAAACTGATGAGAGACGATAAAGAAACTCAACCGCGGACTGGAGACGGACAAGGGAAGAGACGCAGACAAAGTCAGCGGAGGAGATGTCAGCGGTGGGACGACGCAGTTTGGGAGGCGACTATTGGACAGGAGAAACCAAGGGAAGTAATGAAAGAAAAATTAACCTGTAAAAACAACGTTTTTCACTCTAAATCCTTTATATGCGTGGCGGCTAGAGTCCTCTCGTCCTCTGGCTTGAGATGGCTGCCACCTATGGGTCAGATGATTGCCTGCCACCATTAAGCAATTGGTAATTAAATATAATTTATTTTTTCCTAAAAAGTGTAAAATTTAGGAAAAAAATTTTCACGAAAAGAAATTGTCACGCACAACGAGTCTGTGTGCAAAATGTCAGCTCGATTGGATCACGGGAAGTGGGTTAAAAAACGACCGAAAGATTTGCACGGTCGTAAGCGCGCAAGCAAGCAAGCAAGTGAACTTAATATAAAGGATTTAATAAGTATAACCCGTAAAAACAAAGTTTTTCACTATAAATCCTTTATATGCGTGGCGGCTAGAGTCCTCTCGTCCTCTGGCTTGAGACGGCTGCCACCTATGGATCAGATGATTGTCTGCCAGTATTAAGCAATTAGTAATTCAATATTTAATTTGTTTTCCCTAAACAGTGTAAAATTTAGGAAAAAATTTTTCACGAAAAGAAATTGCGTTGCACAACGAGTCTGTGTGCAAAATATCAGCTCGATTGGATCACGGGAAGTGGGTTAAAAAACGACCGAAAGATTTGCACGGTCGTAAGCGCGCAAGCAAGCAAGCAAGTGAACTTAATATAAAGGATTTAAAAATAGTAGGAAGCATTTGCACAACAGGCTGACAACAACAATTACAACGAGCCATCTACTCCAGTCCACCAGTGTGGCCTGGGAAACCACTCATTGATAAGTTAAGCCCCCTTCTTGGTTCTTTCAGTAAAGTGACTTTACCGAAAGAACCAAGAAGATGAATCCCTGCAGTCACGAAAGCTTTAAATCGAAAGTTAAGCCCTGCTCATCACAATCTACGCCTACGCCAGTTTGATCGCTCAACCAAAATCACAACCCCGCGCTTCCGAGTCCACACATCCCACACACTGCTTTCATTGCTTTCATGGCCTTATTTTGGTGATTTCGAAAAGTTTATTGGTTTGGCCATGTTTGTTTGTTGTAGTACGGAGTAAGACTGATGGCCTTAATCCAAGTTGTCTTGTGGTTGTTGTTGTTTGACTTACATCCCACTGGGATTTTTGCACACAGCGTTGGTGTACGGTGTCTTTTCTGCAATATTTAGCTGTCTTCTTTTGGATTTTATGTTTGCACATAGTCACATATTCACTTTAAGATGTTTTCTTGTTCATGTTTTTGTTTTTTGTTTGTTGCGGTTGCACCCGATTCAAGAGCCGAATGGCTCACAGGGCTATACCTAATAAATGAACTTGAAATGAACTTGAACTGCGGAGTTGTCTTTCGCAAAGACTCCACCTTCCACGTTGACCCTTGTTGACCGCTCCTTTGTTATGTTGTTGTTGTTGTCTCCTCTCACGATGCTTGCAATTCCCCCCCCGCCCCCCCAAATGTTATCCCGATTGTGCAACCGTCAGTCAAGTCACCATCGACCAGATCTCCACTGGGACCTCTCACCCAGAGCAGAGTGCAACCCGCCCCGTGTCAGGGGACGGCCCGCAGAGCCACCTCTGACATCCTTCAAATGACCTCTGGCCCATACAGTAGAGGGCAGCACTTCCCACACACACACACACACTCTCCGCAAACGAGCGCGAGGTCCGTCGTACGACTAAATTCAATTTAACACGTAGGCTTTCGCGACCAATGTTATTCATAATCAACGTTTTTGGGTTTAGATCGCGTTATTTATAAATGTGTTCACCATTCTGGCGAATTGCCCGATGATGCTGGATGCAATTACCAGCGAAACGTCGTACTACTCAAATTGTAAATGTTGTGGCTTCAACACACCGGTGGGCTAAAGCAGTGAACTATTTGTCTTTGTCAACGTGACACTTTTTTACTGATTGGCCGTGTCGGGTGGTGGAGGGTTACGACACATTTATAAATAACGCGATCTAAACCCAAAAACGTTGATTATGAATAAATTCAAACCGATATTTTAATTCCCAGAGCTAAGAAGTAACCTAAATCAGCAGAACCAAATTAAGTGATTTTTTTCGGTGCCGTCATTGGTAACGGGGACGAGGCAATCGATTAGCGACGCTTGAAAACACCGGCAGAGTCGCAGTCGAGTGGCTGAGACCCGAGAACATTCGAACGGCTCAGAATCGGTGACCGCCGGGAGCTACACGGCCACTCAATTGAACGTCGCTCTCCTCGGCTGACGTGAAGCGCGGATGATCGAGGCCGGTGTGGGACGATGATGGCGGTGGAAGGGGGGCGCGTGGGTGGGGGGCGCGTGGGTGGGGGGCGCGTGGGTGGGGGGCGGCCCCCCCCCCCCGCCTAGGTGGGCAACTTGTCTACCAGGGCGGTGCGTAGACGGTCCCGGTAGCGCGCGTAATTGCGGTTGACAACCTCGGCGTGTTTCCGCTCCTCCTTGTCGAGGATTCTGAGGAAGTTGTGCAGCTCAGGAAGGCTGAAGGCATCCCACTGCTCGTTCACACGCACACGCGCACACGCACATGCACACACACACACACGCACACACACACACGCACGCACGCACACACACACACGCACACACATGCACGCGCACACACACACACGCACACACGCACACACACACATGCAGGCACAAGAATGTCCACTCAATTAGCTGAAGAGATTATAGGAGCAAAACGTCACCAATAGTTACTACAACAGGTTTTTGTGGATGTGTTGCACAGGCCCTCTGAACCGTTTTCGGGTTGTACCGCTGTGTTGTTTGGCACGATGTCCGACGTTTTGCTCCGAGAGTTGGGACCATCTTCAGGAGCTAACAAGATCAAAGAAACCCCCAGAATGTGGAGCAGAACGTCGGATATCGTGCTAAACAACATAGGCATCATGAAACACGGGGCTAAGACGTCACCAAAACTGAAGTCCTCCTCATTGGTAAAAAGTAAATGACTCCACTAATAGGGTTTTTCCCCTTTATTCTGGCAACAAAACTGACACCTTTAGCAAGGAATCATGTTTACATTAACCACAATACTTGCAGTCAAATGCAAACAAAAACAATACTCTGATAATTTATGCATTGTCTTTGAAACTGATTGGTCCACACCAGAGACAGCTTTCTTTAGAGCCTAGTCTCATATGGTGTTCGACCAGATGACGCCAAAACCCTACCCGATACCCGGCTACCGGGTACGGGTAGCCGTTTGCGACCCTGGTGCGGCCGGGTACGGGTAGACCGTGAGTCATTGGTGAGTCACCGTTTGTCACTCATTTCCCAACGTCTTGTCTCTTCTCACAATTTAAGTTCCTAGAATCAACCCACCCGCGCCTGCAACATGGCTTTATCCCAGAGGTTGCAATCAGGTACCCGATACCCGTACCCTACCCGATACCCGGCTACCCGGCCGGGTACGGGTACCCGTTTGCGACCCTGGTGCGGCCGGGTACGGGTAGGCCGTGAGTCACTGGTGAGTCACCATTTGTCACTCATTTCCCAACGTCTTGCCTCTTCTCACAATTCAAGTTCCTAGAATCAACCCACCCACGCCTGCAACAAGGCTTCATCCCAGAGGTCGCAATCAGGTACCCGATACCCGTACCCTACCCGACCGGGTACGGGTAGGGTACGGGTACGGGTACCCGTTTGCGACCCTGGTGCGGCCGGGTACAGGTAAGGAATCAAAACCCGTGTGCGACCTCTGGCCTCACCTCAACGTCCTCGCTGAAGTTCTCCTTGAGCAGGAAGCGCATGGCGTCACAGTCGGGGCCTGACATCAGCCTCAGGTAGAGGGGGTGCTCCGTGTCGGCCATCTTACGTAGGGTGACTGCACGCGCAGACACACACACAGAAGTAGCCAGGTCAAAGATAGTCCCCTCTAGTACCCAATTGGTGAGGTTAAGATGCTTCAAGTCACGGATAAACATTGTTTCCAAGTGGTAGACATAATGTGGCCACGGGCAAAATATAAATACCGAATAGCAGGCTAGGTACGGCCAGTGGACCATTGGTTCTCGACCCCTTGTCGATACTGATGCATGAATATTCCTTTTACACCAAAACATCCAATCCAAGCCACGCCAACTAGTGTGCTACGAACCCGGTGGCCGGGTTCGTAGCACAGCGCACTAACCGCTACGCTACCCACCAGCAGCAGCAGCATCAGACGTGACTCGTAGCCTGCGAGCCCATGCGCCAGCAATGCCAAACACAAACAGCATAAATCCCTGACTCTGTTTAGTGTACTTGGCGGTTTATACCGGCGGAGCTGTAACCTTTCTCCGAGTTGTTCATGTTTTTGTTTCTTTGTTTGTTGCGGTTGCACCCGATTCAAGAGTCGAATGGCTCACAGGGCTATACCTCGATGTAAAGCTTTCGTGACTGCAGGGATTCATCTTCTTGGTTCTTTCGGTAAAGTCACGTAGAATGGAAATAATAAAATAATAAAAATACAACACAATTAAATAATAATAAAAAAACTTTTTATTCCTTTCGGTAAAGTCACGTAGAATGGAAACAATAAAATAATAAAAATAAAACACGATCAAATAAAATAATTTTTGTAATTTTTAATCTTTCGGTAAAGTCACGTAGAATGGAAATAATAAAATAACGACAAATAAAACACAATAAAGTAATTTTATAATGTTTTATTTTTATTATTTTACTATTTCCATTCTACGTGACTTTACCGAAAGAACCAAGAAGAGGGCTCTACCTAATAAATGAAACTTGAGTCGTAAAATATAAACAGCACCGGCTGCCCCCGCCCCACACACCGCAACGCGTGATGCCGTCCGCACCATGCGCTGCGCAAAACCTTCGGAAAGTCAAACGAGGCTGTGGGTGGACGAGGTTGGGGGGGGGGGGGCAGAAGGAAACGTAAATGGGAGACCGCAGATCTCTCCCGCAGATAAAGTGGCACAAGACGCCTTTCACGGAGCAGATTAACAGCAGTGTTTTGTGTGTAGCAGGCTGCACATGCAAGGCATCGGGGCAAGTAACATGCAACTTATCATTGATTCGTCATCATTAATCACGAGCCATACTCAATACACTGCTGGACAAAGGCTTCCCACGAGGTCATACCGTTTGAGCGGCACACCCCCGATTTCCTGGGCTCGAATCTTTCAGCTGCCGAGTTTTGGTGACCTCAGCTCGGTCATCGATAACCAAACACAATAAACAAACGTTTCGTTTTAGTTAAATATACTTTAATGAAAATATTGGTTTCACTCCGATGCGATGAACATTTTTCCCTGTCGCAACGGTGGGTGGGAAATTGCCACCGTGGTTAGGAGGTGTGGACAAGAGGTCATTTGAAGAGGTTCCAGTAGGTCTGTGATACAGTATATCCTTCCAGGGGCCATTCTACAACACAGATTGATGTACTGCTGTGCGAGAGGTCTGAATGGATAAATGGTTTTTTACCCTTCTATCTGGCAACAAAACTGACACCTTTTTTTTTTACAAGGAGTCATGTTTGCATAGACCACAATACCTGCAGCCATAATGCAAACAAAAAATTATCATATTTTTTACTGGCAAATGAGGTTCCAATGGTGTAAATGCTTAGCCCGAGCTCTCATACTCTGATGGTGCATTGTCTTTGAGTTGTGCGCCTTTTGGCGTCATCTGGTTCAACCCATGTGAGACTAGGCTCTAAGGAAAGCTGTCTCGGGTGTGGACCAATCAACTTCAAGGACAGTGCATACATTATCAGAGTTATGTTTTTTCTTTGCATTATGGCTGCAGGTATTGTGGTCTATGTAAACATGACTCCTTGTAAAAAAAGGTGTCAGTTTTGTTGCCAGATAGAAGGGTAAAAAAACAACCATCATATTTTTTACTGGCCAATGAGGTTCCAATGGTGTTAAATGTCTGAATGGATTAATCATCCCATGACGTGAAGCCAATAAGACAAATGGGTTAGAATTAGGGACAACAATGACATTGAGTGATTCCACAAGATGCAGGCTCTGAGTGGCGCCGTGCAAGAATCAATTGTTCAGAATCATCGAGGCAAATATGGTTCACCTAATACCTGTTGTCACTATCGGTGCTACATTTACCAAAATGTGTACAGGTAGTCCTCTATTTACGATGGAGATGCGTTACGACGACCCCATCGTAAGTGGAAAATATCGTAAGTCGAAGATGGCCTAGCCTGCCCAGAAGTCTTAAAGAATGGTGGTAATTTAGCAAAACAGAGCAATTTACAGTACCGTACTGTATAAACTATATACTGTGTGTATTTATTAATTATAATAATGTATTGCACAGCAAAATATAACGTAAAAAACAAGGTAAATTATTCGCCTACCTATATGAACTGCAATTTAATAGAAAGTTTTTTCAGGAAACAATCCTATCTGCTATAAAAACTTTTAGCATCATGCATTGAACGTATCGTGGTAACCTTAAAATGAAATCGCTAAAGCTACGTATCATACACGCATTGAACATATCGTAACGTAATCATATTGTACTGTATCCACAAAGATTCTGTCCGTCGCCTGCATACTTGAACGATGTTAGGTTGTTGATGGCAATTTTGTCGAATCGCCATCGTAAGATCGAAATATCGTCAGTCGGACCATCGTAATTTCGGGAACTACCTGTACTGGATACGGTAGTGGCTTCTTAAATTGAATTGCAGTACTATCATATGTTTGGCCACAATGGCGAGATATTTAACTACCTCGCCTGGTATACAGGAAGTTGTGGGTTCAATCCCAACCCTGACACCTGCAGCTGTATATTTGGTATTTGCATAGTAACTCCTGCAATCTCTCATTTACTTGATACAGCTGTCGTGGCTGTGACGGTTCCACCTGAAGACGGAAGCTTGTGTTGCCTCCGAAACGTCGTGATTTTTATTTTATTTTACTTTTATTAATTTTAATGTTTTACCTACGTGACTTTACCGAAAAAACCTAAGAATATGGTATTTGCATGTTCTCCACAGGATTTCCTTCCACATTTTAGAAACATGCATTTAGAGTATTTGGCTGAAATACATGTCTACACGGTAAACCACTTCATTGAGCTATCATTTGTGGCCAGGTCGCTGATGAAAAAGAGCTATATAGCTCAGTGGGCTTTACTAAGTAAAATGAAAAAAATAAGTTGAGTATTGTTTGTTGTTGTTGTTAACATTGTTACTCGCCCCGACTGAACGTTCTGCGAAAAATAGCTTCATAGCTCATCGGATTCCTCCAGTATAAATACACATTCCGAATTGCGACTGAATCACAACATTATTTATCGAACTACAACAGAATCATGCCAGGCCTATTACGCACCAAAACATCAACCAATTGATTTGCGCGAATTGCAGACGGTACACCGTGAGAGATTGCAATGGCTTGCGCCCTTAATCCAGCATGTGGATCTACCGTGGCAGAAGGTTTTATGGGACTGAAGGAAGAAGTGGCGCGCTACAAGCTCACCTCCGATAAGCACGGTTGGCTACGTACGGTGTGAAAGAAGTTCAACATATCTTCTTGGTTCTTTCGGTAAATTTCGATTTAAAGCTTTCGTGACTGCAGGGATTCATCTTCTTGGTTCTTTTGGTAAAGTCACGTAGAAGGGAAATAATTAAATAATAAAAATAAACCAATACAATTATTCTCACGACGTTTCAGCCACAACGCAAGCAGCCGTCCTCAGGTGGAGAGCAGGTCTGTCGGCAGCGTCGATTTGAACGCAGCGTCTGAACGCTGTCTCCCCGACAGACCTGGTCTTCACCTGAGGACGGCTGCTTGCGTTGTGGCCGAAACGTCGTGAGAATTATTTTATTATGTTTTATTTTTATTATTTTATTATTTTCTTTCGGTAAAGTCACGTAGAATGGAAATAATAAAATAATAAAAATAAAACATAATAAAATAGAGTCATTCAGACTCTGTCTTCTCGACAGACCTGTTCTCCACCTGAGGACGGCTGCTTGCATTGTGGCCGAAACGTCGTGAGAATTATTTTATGTTTAATTTTTATTAATTTATTATTTTCTTTCAGTAAAGTCACGTAAAATGGAAATAATAAAGTAATAAAAAAAAAACATTATAAAATAGAGTCATTCAGACTCTGTCTTCTCGACAGACCTGTTCTCCACCTGAGGACGGCTGCTTGCGTTGTGGCTGAAACGTCGTGAGAATTATTTTATTGTGTTTTATTTTTATTATTTTATCATTTCCATTCTACGTGACTTTACCGAAAGAACCAAGAAGATGAATCCCTGCAGTCACGAAAGCTTTAAATCGAAAAGTTCAACATACATAAATACAAGCTGATCTAGTCGCTCCATCTCCGTGGCGACGGATCCTCTTGGTCTATCAGTGTATTCCCTGCTTTGGCTCTCACTCCCGTCACCAGTTTCGTCCGGCGTGGTGTAGTATGGTGAATGTGTGTTTTCAATCACTACTCTCATGGTTACTATTCCCATGAATTTAGATTTAAAGCTTTCGTGACTGCAGGGATTCATTTTCTTTGGGACGCTGTCTTTTCGGACAGCTTTGTTTCTTCACCTGAGGATGGCTGCTTGTGTTGTGGCCGAAACGTCGTGAGAATTTTTATTTTATTATGTTTTATTATTTTATTATTTCCCTTCTACGTGACTTTACCGAAAGAACCAAGAAGATATTCCCATGAAATTCCCTCATTGATTCCTCCACCCACGTTGAGGACTTGATACTGTGTTTAACTACCACACTGCAGGTCACAACAACACAAACTCAACCACTCACGCAATCATTCACCCACTCACTCACTCACCCACTCAACCCACCCACTCACCCACTCACCCAATCATTCACCCACTCTCCCACTCACTCACTCACCCACTCACTCACTCACCCAATCACTCACTCACTCACTCACCCACTCACTCACCCACCCAATCACTCACCCACTCACTCACCTAATCACCCACCCACTCACCCACTCACTCACCCACTCACCCACCCCCTCACTCATCCACCCACTGCAGGTCACCTCACTTCTCTTTCTGCTACCTCCCTCGCATCGATCCACTTTGAAATTCCCTCCCTTTATTTTGCAAAGTTCTGATAACCTTGTTCAATTCAAGAAACCTAGTAACTCTTATCCACAGCACCTCAAGAGTGTGGGTGATGTTCGCCACGTGGCATATTTTGGGCCTACTGGGCCTGTGCCCATCAGGCCCAGAGATTGGTGGTCACGAGTAGGTGGACCGTGGTAGGGGGGGTCGTGAATTATGAAACCCCGACGGGAAGTGATTGAGTAATGTTTCCTTGGCATAAACAAGAACAGCATATGTCCCAATGTATGTCTTCCCAACTTTAGAGCCTACACAACATTAGTCACACATTTGTGCAATACTTTATAAAGTGTATGTAATCAATCTTGATTTGAAGCTTTCGTGACTGCAGGAATTCATACTCTTTGGTTCTTTCGGTAAAGTCACGTGGGTAGAAAAATAACGAATAAACCACGACGTTTCGATCGCAACACAAGTCATCGTCTTCAGGTGAAACGACACAGCAGGCGGTGATGTAGTGGTTAGCGTACTGCACCACAAACCCAGTAGTAGCCTCAGTTCAATTTCATGGCTAACATCATGATGGTGTTCTGGGTTCTTTCGTTAAAGTCACGTAGAAGGGAAGTAATAAAATAATAAAACATAATATTTTATTATTATGTTTTATTTTGTATTATTTTATTACATAATATTTTATTATTATGTTTTATTTTTATTATTTTATTACTTCCCTTCTACGTGACTTTACCGAAAGAACCAAGAAGATGAATCCCTGCAGTCACGAAAGCTGTAAATCGAAATCATGATGGTGATTATCTGAACCAACTCTGAGCCTTCCCTAGGTCGACTCAAACTTAAATGTTTGAGTACCTAGTGCGGTGTTTAAACATCACTCGACAGACAAAGGCAGCCAGGTGTTGTGCTCGCCAAACGAACCCTTTATGCATCATGCTGGCCTTCATTAGGTGCTCACTAACAGCACTTGCCCCAGTGGCCTGTGTAGGCTATACGAATGATCTTTGTCGTATACAGTGCATACAAGAACAAATCATTGACGTATTTTCTTCCAGTCACCATGCTGCTGGCAAGAGGAACACAGCTTAACCACAACGGGAACTTAATTTAAGATACACGCTGGTCACAATGCTACAGTACAAAAAGTGAGTCGCCATTGTTAATCTTTTTGACTCAAATAATGTAAGGTTTATCCCATTGGTACCTCATTTTCCAGTAAAAAATATAATTGTTTTTTTACCCTTTTATCTGGCAACAAAACTGACACTTTTTTTACGAGGAGTCATGTTTGCATAGACCACAATACCTGCAGTCGTAATGTAACAAAAAACACAACTCTGAAAATGTATGCACTGTCCTTGAAGGTGATTGGTCCACACCCGAGACAGCTTTCCTTAGAGCCTAGTCTCACATGGTGTTGGATCAGATGACGCCAAACATGACTCCTCGTAAAAAATGTGTCAGTTTTGTTGCCAGATAAAAGGGTAAAAAACCAATTATCATATTTTTACTGGAAAATGAGGTACCAATGGTGTAAATGCTTCCCCGAGCTCTCATACTCTGATGGTGCATTGTCCCTGAATTGTGCGCCTTTTGGCGTCATCTGGTCCAACCCATTTGAGACTAGGCTCTAAGGAAAGCTGTCTCGGGTGTGGACCAATCAACTTTAAGGACAGTGCATACATTATCAGAGTTATGTTTTTTGTTTGCATTATGACTGCAGGTATTGTGGTCTATGCAAACATGACTCCTCGTAAAAAAAAGGTGTCAGTTTTGTTGCCAGATAAAAGGGTAAAAAAACAATTATCATATTTTTTACTGGCAAATGAGGTACCAGGCGAATTAATTTCAAGTTGTTTTTGTTGTGTATCTACCAATTCGATTGCCGTGTTTCGTTATCGTTAACATCATCATCCAGTCTGGATGAAAGCCTCCCCAAGTCATTTCTATCCCTCACGATCTCGGTGTTGCAGCAATCCATCTAGCTGTTGCACACAACAGCGAGATGGATTGTTGCCAATCTCTGATTGGCGCGGTTGGCTACGTACACTGCAAAAGAAGTTCTACGTACGTACGCACGTCAGAGGTCGCAAACGGGTTTTGATTCCTAACCCGTACCCGTACCCGGCCGGGTATGGGTACCCGTACGCTACCCGTACCCTACCCGAAATGAATGACAAACGGTTACTCACCGGTGACTCACAGCCTACCCGTACCCGTACCCGGCCGCACCAGGGTCGCAAACGGGTACCCGTACCCGGCCGGGTACGGGTACCCGTACGCTACCCGTACCCTACCCGAAATGAGTGACAAACGGTTACTCACCGGTGACTCACAGCCTACCCGTACCCGGCCGCACCAGGGTAGCAAACGGCTACCCGTACCCGGCCGGGTACGGGCAGCCGGGTATCGGGTAGGGTACGGGTATCGGGTACCCGGTTGCGACCTCTGACACACGTACAAGCTGATCTCATCGCTCCGTCTCGATGTCCAGTTTATTCCCTCCTTTAGCTGCCACTCCCGTCAGCAGTTTCGTCAGCCACCGTCTCTCATGCCCAAGATGCGTCTTACCCAAGCCCCCCTTACTTGGCGTCACGGTCAATATGTCCTGGGTACTCATTTTTGGCAATATTTATTTAGCGAATGCTTTTACACAGTTCGGACACCAGATACACAAGGAAAATCATTAAATTAGTTGCGTCATGATAATTGGTTTTTTTACCCTTTTATCTGGCAACAAAACTGACACCTTTTTTACGAGGAGTCATGTTTGCATAAACCACAATACCTGCAGTCGGAATGCAAACAAAAAACATAACTCTGAGAATGTATGCACTGTCCTTGAAGTTGATTGGTCCACACCCGAGACAGCTTTCCTTAGAGCCTAGTCTCACATGGTGTTGGACCAGATGACGCCAAAAGGCGCATAACTCAAAGACAATGCACCATCAGAGTATGAGAGCTCGGGGTAAGCATTTACACCATTGGAACCTCCTTTGCCAGTATGTATGTCAATGTTATATTGTGAGAGGACATCAACCCACGTAGCGACAGAGCCATACTTTATGGCTTTATTTAGGTGATTTCGAAAAGTGTATTGGTTTAGTCATGTTTGTTTGTTGTAGTACAGAGTTACACTGATGGCCTTAATCTAAGTTGTCTTGTGGTTGTTGTTGTTGTTTGACTTGCATCCCACTGGGATTGTTGCACACAGCGTAGGTATACGGTGTTTTTTCTGCAATATTTTTGCTGTCTTTTCTTGGATTTTCTGTTTGCACTTAGTCACATATTCACTTTAAGATGTTTTTTGTTCATGTTTTTGTTTTTTGTTTGTTGCGGTTGCACCCGATTCAAGAGCCGAATGGCTCACAGGGCTACACCTAATACATGAACTTGAACTTGAACATGCGACAGCCTCTTCCTCAAGCACGTGCGGGGCAACCAGTCCACCCGGCGCACCCTGACGGACTTCACATCCGGACACGGTATGCGCCACGGTCTCCTGCTTCCCACATGGATTGTTGCAACACCAAGATCGTGAGGGATAGAAATGACTTGGGGAGACTTTCATCCAGACTGGATGATGATGATGATAACGATAACGAAACACGGCAATTGAATTGGTAGATCCACAACAAAAACAACTTGAAATTAATTCGCCTGAAAATACAACCGCTGTTAACTTTCTGCAAAGTCGTCACATTGTTATATTTGATCAAGGAGGGCTGTCGCGTAGTACGCCCCATCGGCGTTCGGAAGTGGCACAAACCCGCTGGTCACACCGCAAGCGGTGAACCCTGAACCCTGCTGGTGCCTTGGGAGGTCAAAGCCAGGCATCTGGATAGATGCAGCTCTGATGAGGTCCTCGTTAGGCAAGAAGCTGTCTATAATTTGTCTTTGTTGATCCACGTGTTTCTCTTTCTTATCATTATGTGTATGTCGACGTTACTGTGACCGCAGTGAATATATAAACTGTGGCCGAGAAGACCAGGAGCTGCACGTGTAGTGCAACAGACCAGGCAGCAACACGATACGCGTGGCTACGGACAAACATAAACCACTTCACAAGGGAAACCAGGTCCGGCTCACACCGGCGCACGTCCATAACCCTCCTTCATAAGAGACTTTTGGGTTAGGCCACGTAATTATCTGGCTAAACCTGTGACAATGTCACATTTAGCAGAGTTTAACAACGTACCAGTTATTGTTTTTTCATCTCACTGGGAAGTTAAAGAATAATTAATTCTCCCGACCAAATGTCGCAATTAAATCTGACGTTTCGCTTGAAACTGCATTAATTCTAGATTTGAAGCTTTCGTGACTGCAAGGATTCACACTATTAGTTTTTTCGGTAAAGTCACGGTCCCACCTGATGACGGAGACTTGTGTTGCCTCCGAAACGTTGTGATTTTTATTACTGTATTTTTATTAACTTTAATTTCATTTTTTACGTACGTGACTTCACCGAAAAAACGAATAGTATGAAACCGCATTAAGCCAGATCCTTACGCGTCCTCGGTCCAAAGTCGATTACGATGCGTATCATTATCCGCGCGCACGCACGCGTGACCCTACCTTGCCCGTTGCTCTCGCACCTCTGGAAGACGGCGAACTTGCGGGGGCTGTCGAGCACCATGAACTTGCGCAGCAGCGCCTCGATCACCTCGCGCGCCGTCGTGCCGCTGCTGACGTGCAGCTGCTTCACCGCGTCGTGCGGCAGGTAGAAGGACGTGCGCCGCCGCAGGCCGCCGCTGACCGACAGCGACGACGACGACGACGCTGACGCGGCGGCGCCGGCGGCGGCAGTAGCGCCACTCCGCAGCGCGTCGTAGATGGAGGGCGGCCGCTTGCCGCTCTCCACCGAGATGGGACGCGATAGGGACATGTGCACGCGGATGAAGCCCGTGTAGGAGTCGTCCGCTTGCTGTGTGTGCGCACACGCAAGCACGCAAGCACGCAAGCGCGCGTGTACAGTAATCCCTCGCCAGTTCGCGGTTCAAGTTTCGCGGCCTCAGTGCATCGCGGATTTTTCGAACTGATTTAAAGGCCTCATTATACGTGTGCAGTAACACCATCATCATCATTCATCATTGCATTCATCGAACTGCACAGGTCTGTCATCGTCGTCATTGTCATTGTCATCGTCGTCGTCCTCATTACTGGAGTCAAGTCTCAAGATACTACTGTCATTGGTGAGTGTAGAACACCATAATACGTATCGTATGAGAGAGAGAGAGAGTGAATGTATAATATTAAGGTTTTATAATTAAATATATTTAAGTAAAATATATATATAAAGTATAAATATACATATTTTAAACATTCTGGTACCCACACCCACACAGACGGAAATTCCTAGGGGGGCCAATCCTACTTCGCGGATTTTCACCTATCGCGAGGGGTTCCGGTCCCCATTAACCGCGATAAACGAGGGATCACTGTATGTCAATGTTATATTGTGAGAGGCCATCAACCCACGTAGCGACAGAGCCATGCGACAGCCTCCTACTCAAGCACGTGCCGGGCAACCAGTCCACCCGGCGCACCCTGACGGACTTGACATCCAGAGACGGTATGCGCCACGGTCTCCTGCTTCCCCATAAAATGTACACTCCAGTCAGCTATATAGGAATATGAAATTGTCACCACTGGCTGACTCAGGGCCGAATCGATCGACACGGGTTTTGCCAGCGTAATAATCGATTTTAAATCATCGACATGTCGTCACATGCATACTGTATAAATAAATACGCAAAGGGCATGTCTGAGAACAAATCGACCGATATGCACAAGATCTTATCAGGTCTCATAATCTAAGCAGGTTTGAGCCTGTATAGTGATTGGGATGGCTGACCCCAAAGGGCAATAAGTGACTGTGAGCTGAATGCAGTGCAGGAAAATCCGGTGTTGCATCGTGATTCTACTGTCTCATGTCTACGCGTTTGCCAAGCCGCACCAATGACCGTGTTGACGTGCAGCTAAACAACCCCCACGACCCGCGTGATGTAGCCAGGTTCTCATTCAGCAGCGCATTGACAAACACGGGCGTACACGTATGGTATGTGTTCACAACTCGATTACGCAATTGAATCGATAACCCAGATCGTGACATTCAATCTAAATCTGTGGCATTATCTTCTTGGTTCTTTCGGTAAAGTCACGTAGAATGGAAATAATAAAATAATAAAAATAAAACAATAAAATAAGTCTGTCGAGGAGACAGACCTGTTCTTCACCTGAGGACGGCTGCTTGCGTTGTGGCCGAAACGTCGTGAGAATTATTTTATTATGTTTAAATTTAATTATTTCATTATTTCCCTTCTACGTGACTTTACCGAAAGAACCAAGAAGATGAATCCCTGCAGTCACGAAAGCTTTAAATCGAAATCTGTGGCATTAGCTGAAGAGCCCGCAGCTCACTGCTGATGCTGTGCTCCCTCACCAGTGTAATGACCATGCCATTGTCCACTTGGCTGTTGAATTCGGAGATCTTCGCTTTCAAGTCCACGCCGCACGTGGAGGGTTTCTCCGACACTTCCTCAATTGCTTTCTTGCTGTCCTGCTGCAAAGACAATCCCAAAGGAACTCACAGGTGGCTTTACATCATCAAGTCGCCGTGGTGTCAACTACCTCGCCTGGTATGCAGGAGGTCGTGGGTTCGATCCCAACCCTGACACCTGCTGCTGTATATTTGGAGTTTGTGTGTCTCTCTCATCGTCATCATCATCACGGTGGCTAGGAAATGTTAACTACCTCGCTTGGTATGCAGGAGGTCGTGGGTTCGATCCCAACCCTGACATCTGCTGCTATATATTTGGAGTTTGTGTGTCTCTCTCTCTCATCACCATCACGGTGGCTAGGAGATGTTAACTACCTTACCTGGTGTACAGGAGGTCGGGGGTTCGATCCCAACCCTGACACCTGCTGCTGTATACTTGAAGTTTGCGTTTCTCTCATCACCATCACGGTGGCGAGGAGATGTTAACTACCTCGCCTGGTATACAGGAAGCCGTGGGTTCGATCCCAACCCTGACACCTGCTGCTGTATATTTGGAGTTTGCATGTCTCTCTCTCTCATCACCATCACGGTGGCTAGGAGATGTTAACTACCTCGCCTGGTATACAGGAGGTCGTGGGTTCGATAGCGACCCTGACGCCTGCTGCTGTATATTTGGAGTTTGCGTGTCTCTCTCATCATCATCATCACGGTGGCGAGGAGATGTTAACTACCTCGCCTGGTATACAGGAGGTCGTGGGTTCGATCCCAACCTGACACCTGCCGCTGTATATTTGTAGTTTGCGTGTCTCTCTCTCTCTCTCATCATCACCACGGTGGCGAGGAAATGTTAACTACCTCGCCTGGTATACAGGAGGTCGTGGGTTCGATCCCAACCCTGACACCTGCTGCTGTATACTTGGAGTTTGCATGTTCTCCCCGTGGTCGTGTTGATTTTTCTCCGGGTCCTCCGGTTTTTCCCCTCCACATTTAGAGTCAACAACGTGCGTTCAGGGTGTTTGGCTGCTATACATTCCCACATGATACACCGCTTCGTTGCACTATCCTTTAGTGGCCAGGTCGCTTCTGAAAAACCGCTAATAAAATAAAATCAACATCGTTTTAGTTAAGTCATACCTATTTTATTTAGACTACGGTACAACACTCGGTGGTTATGACTAGAACACCCAAAATGTGCCCCATCTCCGAAGCGAAGTTTAACCTGGAGAGTGCTTAGACAGTTGACCGCCTTGCATGCCACATTGTTACAGGCGGTTGCGGCGCCGTACGACGTGGTGGGCAGTATGGAAAAATCCATCATTGTACCGAACTTCTATGCCCCCTGCCTTCAACCTACCCGCTCTGACCAGCATGGTGAAGTCATCTTCCCATCCCCCGTAACATGGGGAGGCTCTCATCTAACAGCGGATTAACGGGCCATACATGTTCAGTAAAAATACATGAATGTATTGTGCAATATATATTATGGAAAAAATAAACTACCAAAACAATAACAGGTGACAAAAAAATTGCTCCATAATCTAGGTTTTTTGGGTTAGATCGTGTAAATATAAATGTGTCGTTAAACCCGCCACCACCCGACATAGCCAATTAGTAAGGTTTGTCACGTAAATAGAACGTGGCCAATTCGTTACTCGTACAGCACACCGGTGCGTTGGAGAGTAAATCCACAACATTTATCGGGTGGTGGCCGGTTTAACAACACATTCATATTTACGCGATCGAACCCAAAAATACCTGTTTTATGGACATTGGTCACGGAAACCTACGTCTTCTTGGTTCTTTCGGTAAAGTCACGTAGAAGGGAAATAATAAAATAATAACAATAAAACATAATAAAATACAATTCTCACGACGTTTCGGCCACAACGCAAGCAGCCGTCCTCAGGTGAAGAACAGGTCTGTCGGAAAGACAGGTGAAGAACAGGTCTGTCGGAAAGACAGCTGTCTCAGGTGAAGAACAGGTCTGTTAGAAAGACAGCTGTCTTTCTAACAGACCTGTTCTTCACCTGAGGACGGCTGCTTGCGTTGTGGCCGAAAAGTCGTGAGAATTATTTTATTATGTTTTATTTTTATTATTTTATTATTTCCATTCTACGTGACTTTACCGAAAGAACCAAGAAGATGAATCCTTGCAGTCACGAAAGAAGCTTAAAATAAAAAAAACCTATGTGTTCAACAAAAAACATTGCTGCTTGTTGCCCTTCTGTTTTGAATGATCTGCTTGGAAAGCACCCAGACAAAAAAAAAACACATCTCTAGCTCCCTGTGGAGTTGCTGCCACACGTGCTTTTTGCACCCCTAATATGGCATACATGTTTCAATCAGAAGTTATCGGACCAAATATAGCCTCGCGCATGCTTCCCGGAACACTGCGTAAATACTGTGATCAGATAAACATTTCCCGAAGACAGAACAGTGCTCACACAACTTAAAGTCTGCAAGGCGCAGGGGCTCCTCAGGGGTTGCGATGATTCGCAACCCTGTGCCCCCTTGCAATCTGGTCAATTGCATTCGCTTCTAATACACTAATAGGGGTTTTCCCCTTTTTTCTGGAAACAAAACTGACACCTTTTGCAAGGAATCATGCTTACATTAACCACAATACTTGCAGTCAAATGCAAACAAAAAACAATACTCTGATAATTTATGCATTGTCCTTGAAACTGATTGGTCCACGCCGGAGACAGCTTTCTTTAGAGCCTAGTCTCATATGACGCCAAAAGGCGCACAGTTCAGAGACAACGCACTACCAGAGTAATGAGAGCTCGGGGTGAGCAGCTACATCATGGGACCTCCTTTGCCAGTACCAGAGTATTGTTTTTTGTTTGCATTTGACTGCAAGTATTGTGGTTAATGTAAGCATGATTCCTTGCAAAAGGTGTCAGTTTTGTTGCCAGAAAAAAGGGGAAAACCCCTATTAGTATATTTTGGTACTGGCAAAGGAGGTCCCATGATGCATTCGCTTCCTGAAGCTGCCGGCACGTGGCACGAAACGTCAGACATCGTGACAAGTAACGAGCGGTACAACCCAAAAACACAAATAATCCAATTGATGTTGCGAGGGAGCAGCCACGCTGAGGTTCTTGTGCCGATCCCGCGAGACAACAATTGGCTTTCAATGTTCAGCGCTGAAGCTTGACGAGGGAAAATAAATCAATGAACCCGGCGGCAATTCCCGTGGATGCATCTTAATGGACCCGGTCACTTTGTCGATAGAGTGGAGCGAGAGAAAAATGAACCGTCAGGGAGTGGCAACAACCATTAGTCCTCCCAACGACTAAGGCAGAAATTTTAAAAAATTAACCCGTAAAAAAATTTTTTCACTATAAATCCTTTATATGCGTGGCGGCTAGAGTCCTCTCGTCCTCTGGCTTGAGATGGCTGCCACCTACGGGTCAGATAATTGCCTGGCAGCATTAAGCAATTGGTAATTCAATATAATTTTTTTTTCCTAAAAAGTGTAAAATTTTGCAAATTTTCTTTCACGAACATTAATTGTCTGGCACAACGAGTCTGTGTGGAAAATGTCAGCTCGATTGGATCACGGGAAGTGGGTTAAAAAACGACCGAAAGATTTGCATGGTCGTAAACGCGCAAGCAAGCAAGCGAACTTAATATAAAGGATTTTAAAAAGTGGCTACTCTAGTTAAGTTGTGCTGAAAAGCGCCACACATTCAGGCAACAACCTCACTATAGATTCCGCAATCAAAGTCATAATATCTTCTTGGTTCTTTCGGTAAAGTCACGTAGAAGGGAAGTAATAAAATAATAAAAATAAAACATAATAAAATAATTCTCACGACGTTTCGGCCACAACGCAAGCAGCCGTCCTCAGGTGAAGACCAGGTCTGTCGGGGAGACAGTCTGAATGATACACCCCAGGCTTGGAGTGACTATTTAAGCTGGGATGGAGGGGGGAAGGGCGCCTTGACAAAAGAATTTGCATATCAAGAGGAATTTAGCATATTTATGGGAAATGCAGGTATGTGATTAGTACTACTTGTGAAATGCGTAGGAGGTGGGCGGGGGGGTTTCAAAGTCATATTATGCCCGTGCATTATGCAGGATTAACAGCATCAAAGGGAGGGGATAGGGGTAGCATTAATAAAGGGAAGGAATGTAAATAGTATGTAGCTGCAGTAACTAAACAACCACGTAAAAAACAAAAAAAAGTCACAATACCCAAGGGGCGTACATTCCAAGGCAATCTATATATGTTACAAAAATAATCATGGAACACGGTGTTAGACATCAACAAAAGTACCCTCCCCATGCATTCTACATTCCTATAACCAGTTATTTTTAAATCCTTTATATTAAGTTCACTTGCTTGCTTGCGTGCTTGCTTACGACCGTGCAAATCTTTCGGTCGTTTTTTAACCCACTTCCCGTGATCCAATCGAGCTGACATTTAACACACAGACTCGTTGTGCGTGACAATTAATGTTCGTGAAAATGTTACACTGTTTAGGGAATTTTTTAAAAATATTTAATTACCAATTGCTTAATGCTGGCAGACAATCATCTGACCCATAGGTGGCAGCCATCTCAAGCCAGAGGACGAGAGGACTCTAGCCGCCACGCATATAAAGGATTTATAGTGAAAAACTTTGTTTTTACGGGTTAATTTTTTAAGTCTTGAGGTTAGAAATAATTTAAACCATCTGATCATTGCTGCTTTTGTTGTGGGCTGCAGATGGCAATGCAGAACAAAAAAATGTTGCTTTACTGTAGATCTACGTTCCCAGATCTGCTATCCACGTTCATCAACCCGCACCGACAACCTGGGAAGACTCATCCCAGAGCGGAGTGATCACGGCTGGCGATGATCGCTGCCGAAATGGCTTTGTCGGCATTGCGAAGCGTCCGGCGAATGGGCGATTCACAGCTCTGCCAAGACAATATCACAGGGCGGTATTTAAAAGGACCGTGAGCTGCTGCTCTTCAATGCTTCTCCGATGTAGCCACTTGATGGGGTGGCCTTGGCACAGCTGGCGGATTGTAAACGCTTTCTCGTGTCTGAACAATCTTGCGATGTTTCC